AAGTGGTATACCATCTATTCCTGGGGCCTTATTTTTTGCTATTTCCTTCAAAGCAGCTTGAACTTCTTCCTTCATCACCATAGGCTCTTGCTCAAATGTTATTTCATTAAATTCTTCTGTTATCTGCTAATCCCTTTCGATACAATGACTCAGTATATTCCTTCCATCTTCTTCTAATACTTCCTGGATCATTTAATACTCTGCCTAAAGCATCCTTGATTATAGCAACTCGAGTTTTGAATTTGTTCTTCAGTTCCTTGAGCTTAAGAAATGCTGAACGAGTTTGGCCCTTTTGATTTTCCGACTCTAGCTCCTCGTACATTTCATTGTGGTATTTTGCTTTGTCATTTTGTGCTGCCTTTTGAAATCTTCTGTTCAGCTCTTTAGTATCTTGAATTCTTCCTTGTGCTTTGGCTTCTCTACGCTCCAGTGCAATCTTCAGACGGTGCCTGGCTGTCCTTATTAACCATTCTCACTAGGACACAGTAGTTGGGTGCCAGGTAACATGGAAAGAAAATGGTAAACAAAGCCCAATTTCCTAAAAAATGACAGCCTAGGTGGCCTAGTGGCAAGAAGTCTTTTCTTCCTCTTCTGTCTTTGTAATGACCGTTTGCACTCTTCCTGGATGATACATTTGACATCCTCCCCCAACTCACGTGGTCTTCGCTCATTAGTGTTCAAGGCCTCAAACCTGTTCCTGAGATGATTCTGAAATTCAGGTGGGATGAAATCAAAGTCATACTTTGTCTCCTGTGGGTTTGGTTTAATTTTCCTCAGCTTCAGCTTGAACTTGCATATGAGTAGTTGGTGGTCTGTTCCACAATCAGCCCCTGGCCTAGTTTTCACAGCTGATACTGAGCTTCTCAAGCGGTTTTTTCCGCAGATGTAATCGATCTGATTCCTATGCATACCATCAGGTGAAATCCATGCGTATTAATTTTTGTGTATGTGTACCGTCAAATTGGATCTGACTGGTACAGGAGATTGCCCCTCCTTCTCCAGCAGAGCATCTGGTGGATTTGAACTGCTCACCTCTGGGAATGCAGTGCAGTTTCTTGTCAGTTGGCCACCCGAACTCACCGGAGGCTAGGATTTTGAAGCTCTGTCTTACATACTTTGGGCATGTGGCCAGGAGTGACTGATCCTTGGAGAAGGACATCATGCTCAAAAGGGTGGAGGAGAGGAAGACCCTGGATAAGATGGATCAATAAAGCAACTAGGGCAATGGGGGGTGGATGTACTGGAGTCAGTGACACTGGCTCAGGGCAGGCTTCAGAATTATTGTACACAGGATCGCTATGAATCGCAGGCGACTTAACTACACATAACAACAACAACATTAATCTCAATACCAATAAAATAATTACACTCTTCCTTTGCTGTGCGATGCACTGCTGAGAGATGAGCTTCTCAGGGTGGAAGGCACTCAAACACATGATTGAGCGCATGGCACCGGGCCAGGCAGTGTTGTTGTCTATGGTACACAGGGTTGATTAGTCAGGACTGACTCAATAGCAACCAACAACATAATATATGCAACTCACAGTCTCTCCTTCCCCCCCCCCCCTGCCATCACTGACCTTTCCCAGGGTTTCCCAGGCTGTCACTCACACAGGAAGAGATTGCCCATTTTTCTCAAAGGAGCTGCTGGTAGAGTCAAAGCACCCTTGCGTTAGCAGCGCAGATCCCCATGGACTACACCACCAGAGCTCCCTATTAGCCCAAGGCACATTAAAATACTTGGTCTTATTTGCTCCTCACAGCCCTAGGAGAAGAATATTATTCTCATTGCAGAAAGGAAACTGACAATGACAGAAAAGAAGCTGCTTGTCTCAAATCCCCATAAATAACTATGAGAGTCCAAGTTCAAAACTAGGGTGTTAGTCTCTGAGTCTCATTTCCTAGAAATCACTAAGAATAGCCCTCACCGTCACAATTCAAGGCAAAATAGTCCTGAATTGTAACTGCCCTTCTGGGCCAGAGGGAGTCCTGGTGGTGCAGTGGATTAAAAAGCTAGGCTGCTAAATGAAATATTGTTGTCTTCCCATCAGCTGCTCAGAAGGTAAAAGATGAGGAAGTCAGCTTCCACAAAGATTTACAGCCCTTTAAATGGTGAAGTTGTTGTTAGGTGCCACTGAGTCAAGCATGATGTCTTTTTCCAAGGACTGACTGGCCTCTTCTAACAACATGCCCAGTGTTATGAGAGACAAAGTTTCACCAACCTTCCCTCCAAGGATCACTCTGGCTGTACCTTCTATGATACGTATTTGTTTGTTCTCTTGGAAGTCTACGGTTATATTCAATACTCATCTCCACCACCACAACTCAAATGCATCAATTCTTCTTCTGTCATCCATCTGTTCAACTCTCAAATACATAGCAAGTAACTGCCCAAGGTCACGATGACAGTAAGTATAAGAGTTCTACTCTATCCTACAGGGTCACCATGAGTTGGAATCAACAAAGCTGCAATGGTTTGTGTTTCGTTTCATTTTAATCTGGGTTTGGGTCCGTATCTTCCATGAGACGTCAAGGCCCTCTAGAATAGGGCTTAGTGGGACTGTAACCAGAGTGTCCAGTCTTCTAGAGTAAGACTTGGCCCAAAACCCACTCTAGGAATTCTGCAAGTGGATGAAAGAATGCATGAATGAATGAACTAGTGAATGAGTGAGTGACCCAAGGCGGCCCCACTCACCCTCGATGAGCCACTCGCAGTTGCCATTGACGCTGTAGTTGCCTGCACCATCCGTCACGAAGCCTGGAGCCTCCCGCAGCACCTGTCGCTGTCCCTTGCAGTCCCCTGACCTGGCCCCTGGGCACAGCGGTCCCAGCATAGCCAAGGCCAGGGCCAGGGCTCTGGCCAGAACTGGGACCGGGGCCATGGCTACCTCCTGCACAGACCCTTAGACAAAGGACAAGTCCTAAAACCCCCTAGAGGAGGCCCCACCTGGGGTGAGCCCCTACAAAGGAGATCCTGTGGACGGAGCACGCCCCAAACAGGTGGCGAGGTCCACGAGACTCGGCTCCTAGGAAGGGAATGGCTGCTGTGGGCAAGTTCTAGAAGCCAAGGGGTGCGCTCAAATAGAGCTATTGGAGGCCCTATGGCCAGGGCTGTTACCTAGTCCGCTATGGACACGAGCCTCCGTAGACTGGCAGCGCCCCCATAAACAGTACTCAGCAGCTACAGCCGCAGGCCTCTATGGGCCGAACGGCTTTATAAACGAACGGGCTCCCAGGGACGTAGGGCCTTACAGCCCGGTGGGTGCCTCCATATATGGGGCTGAAGGGTGATGCGGGCCCTAGCCCGCCAAGCCCCGACGATCCCTGAGAGGTCCCTCCAGCCGGGAGCGGGGCGCTGGCTGGTGCCCGGGGCAGAGCCCGTCTTCAGGGGCTCGGGTCCCGGACCCCATAGAAGCGTTCTTTGCTCACCCACCCGCGCGCCTCCCTCCTGGAGCCAGATAGGCCAAATCAGAGAGTTGAGGGGACGCTCGGGCCAGAGCGGCCCCAAGAAGCCCTGTTGGGATGCCGAGGGGGCGGGGGCCAAGCGGCCGCAGTGGGGCCGATGGAGAGGAGGCGAGAAGTCGCAGGCTGTGGGTCAGAGCGGCCCTTGGAGGACTGCGGAGCGCACAGCCCCACCCCTCTGCAGAGGGCGACTTCCGGAAACTGCCCCGCCCATTTGTTTCCGGTCGCATGCGCAGCACTGACCTCCTTGGCATGAGAAGACATGTGCAGTGCCAATCTCGTAACCCGAACGGTAGAGCGCCTCTACTGCCGACTGGGTAAGGGAGGATAATAAAAAGGAGGTTCGGCAAAGGACTCTGCAAGATGGTTTACACCTTCATTGTTCCTAGATGCCAAGTTAGCATTCAAGTCAGGTTATGCAGGCCATTTCCTAGGTACCAGGAGCCTTTGGTGTCTCTGGTTAAACAACTGCTGCTAATCAAAAAGTCAAGGATTTGAGCCTATCAATCACTCTGCAAGAGAAAGATTTGACAGTCTCCTTTCATAAAGATTACAGCCTTGGAAACGTTGTTGTGTACCCTGTACCCACTCTTAGCTGACCCTCCAGAGGGTTTAGTTGATCTCACACAGAAGATTGCCCATCTTTTTCCTTCAGAGCAGCTGGTGGATTAAAACCGCGTGCTCTTGGGTTGGCAGTGCGACTCCTTATCGCTAAGCCACCGGATAGCTCCTTTTGGTGAAACACTATAAAAAAAAAAAAGTCAAAGATCAAAGTCATTGCCAGGGAAGTCCGAACCCTTTCATAGCTGACGTTCCAGCAAATCCGCTGTAAATCGCATGCTGAGGCTGAAAATCTCACAGGAGAAAATTGCCTTCCCCATCTCTATAGCCACTGGTGGATTCAATCCGTCACTTTTGGATTAATACCAGAGCTCTTCTAGGATCCAAATGAACTAGGCAGGAGTAGGTTCGGGTTTGGTTTGCCAATAGAGCTTACTTGAGAGCTCTGGTAGCCTAGTAATAAGAAGCTGTGCTGCAATCGCAAAGCCCACACGGTTCAAATCAGTGAGCTCCATAGGATGCTGAGCAATCTCTTCCTGTGTGAAAAAACGCTAGAGGGTCTGCTATGGGTCGGTTCCTAGTCAACGGCCCACAACAAAAGGCTACAACACTGTAACCAACCACTTCGTGCCAAATGCTCTTCTGAGCACCATTACGATGTGAAAGAGGACAGACACCTTATGGATTAAAAACTCAATGAATCTTCTTTATTTTGGCAAGAAGGGGAGGGAAGCCTTTCTGCCTGGGACCTGAGGGACAGCTCCCTTGTTGGAGAGAAAGTCCACCAGGCAAAACAGGTCTGAGGTTTTAGAGATCCGAGGGCGGGTTTTCAGAGCAATCCAGTTTCCCAATCTCCGTCCTGGGAGCGGTGGCTCGGTGCCTCGGAGTCCTGGAGCGTTCTGATGGTCTCGCGAAGGTCCCGGGTCCGGTGGGGTCAGAGGTCTCGGAGGGGGGCAGGGGGCCGGAGGTCGCGGAACAGCGGGAGCCCAGAATCCGGCGCCGCTCGAGGCGGGGGCTGAGGGAGGGGACGGGGAGAGTGGCTCCCGCGGGACCGTTTGGCACAAGAGTGGGGGGCGGGGGGCGGGGCGCAGGGCACCCTCACCTGGGCGCTCGGGGGTGGGGGCGGCCTGGGATGGCCGAGCCTGTGTTTGGGATAGGGCAGGGGTCCGGGCCCGGCGCGCGGCCCTTGGGGCAGGAGGGACAAGGGTATCACACCGGGGGAGCAGTGCCCCCGGCCGTGTGCATGCTGAAGTACTCGGTGAAGCCGGTGTGCGGCGCCGCCGTCTGGGGCACGAGCGGCTGGTAGGGCGCCGTTGGGCCATCCCAGCCCCGATCGGCCGATTTAGGGAGCCGGGCGGGAGAGGACGGGGAGGCTGCGCCCGGCTCGGCCGTGGTCACCACGCGGCCCCTCGGGGCCACCGCTGCCGCCACCGCCGTTTCCTCCACCTGCTTCCCGGCCTGGGAGGGGGGTCAGGGTAAGAGGCCGCCCGGGAACCTCGGGGTGCAGATGCGGCCCCGAAGTCCTGCCCCCTCCCCCTAAGACCCTTTCTCCACCCCAGCTGCGGGCGCCCGGGTCAGTCCGGGAAGGAGCGGGTGGCGGGGCGCCTAGGCAGCGGGGCCAGGTACTCCAGGGGAGGTGTCGGGGCGCGCCGGGCGAACTCAGGCGGTGGCCGGGGAGGGCAGGGAGAGCCTCGGAAGGCAGGCGGCGGGGGCACGGCGCGCGGCGTCGGCGGGGGCGTGCGCAGCATCGCCAGGACCCAGTCCGGCAGGGTGGGCGCGGGCGCCGGGAGCCGATCACGGCGCGGCAAGGGGACGCGGGGCGTGCAGAAAGCGGGGGGCGGGCTCAGACGCCCAGGCGCGGGGGGCGGCGGCGGGGCCGGGACTGGGGTCAAGTACTCCAGGGGCGGCGCCAGCAGCTCCTCGGGCGCCTGGGGCGCGGGGCTTACGGAGGAGGCGGGCGGGGGGATGGAGAAGAGCTCCGTGAAGTTGGGCACCGAGTCGCTGATGAACGTCACGTTCCCATAGACGTGCTGCGGGAAGGACTTGGTCCCGGACTGGCTCCCTCCCGGGCCTGGAGCACCGACCGAGGCGATCTGCGACGTTCGCACGTGGTATGGGAAGTTCTTGTTGGCAGCAGACGGGCGTGTCATGATCTGGGGCGAGGGGCCAGACAAAGTTGGAGAAGCTCTGTGAAGGCTGCCCCCATAACCGTGGGGCCCAAAGTAACCCCCTACACCTGACACCCCCATACTACATTCTTTCAGACTGAATTAGGTGACCCCTTGGGCTCTCTTGAGAGCTCTGGTAGCCCCGAAGTGAGTAGCATTTCTAACCTAAAGACACTTCCCTGGAGGCTGGAATCCTGAGGGGGGGATATGAATAGTCTGCTCCCCGTGCAATTTACAGCCTAGAAAACCCGTAGGAGGACGAGTTATGATTCAGTTTGACTCCATTGCACTGAGGTGAGGTTTTCAGGTTCTCAATGTGCCCTAGGCTTTCTCCCCTGACCTCTGACCTTCCCCCATCACCACTCTTGTTAAACTGCCTGTGTTTCCTCTACCAGAGCCCTGGGATGTCATTAATTGGTTAAGCTTCAGTGTCCTGTGCTGTTCAGTTCACAGCCAGGAACCACACGTGGTCATTTAAAGCCATTAAAATGGTCATTTCTAAATCACACTACCTACATGTCAAATGCTCGAGGTATGAAGACAGCACAGTTATGGCCTATTTCCACAGACACAGAATGTTCAACTGGACAGTAACTGATAGAATGGAGAATGTCAGTGTCATGATGGTAGATACTTGACAGTTCCATTCTCAGCTGAATCTGTAGTGCCTTCTAGAACAGTGCCTGACACACAGTAAAACTCAAACTTTCATTGCTGTCAAGTCAGAACTGACTCCTAGCTGACCCTCCATTAGGTTTTTGAGGCTGTAAGTCACACAGGAAGAGTTTGTCCATCTTTTTCCTGCAGAACTCCTGGTGGATCCAAACTGCCAGAGAGATGCAGTGCAACTCCCCATGGACTACACCACCAGGGCTCAGTGGAATGCAGTAAGCCCTGAGTAGACATCAGTGAGATGTAGGGGTGTCCCTTGGATTAGGCTAGGAGACCAGGTCTATGTGTGACTCCATCCCTGCCAAGCCCCGAGAAGTCCAGCACAGTCCCTCTAAAGTTATGCTGAGTAAATGAACAAGGAGATGAACTGAGTGAGCAGTGAAATAGTAGTGCTACGCTATAGTGAGCATTTCTAGGAAGGGAACTGGCTGAAGGGGAAATGCAGCAGAAAGGACGTTTGGCATTCTGCGCCTGCACCCTGCTCCCAGCTCCACAGCTGACTGCGTGTAGGATCTGGGGCACGTTGATTAAACTCCCTGAGCCTCACTGGGGAAAAGGGATTGTGGTGTCTGCTTAGAAAGATGAGGAAATGGTGAGAATGAAAACCACTGATGTAGGTCCTGATGGGCTCTCAGTGTTTCTTCCCTCTGTCCCTGCCTGGCTTCCTGCAGAGCATGAGGATCAACAGACGTGTGTGTGTGTGTGTGTGTGTATGTGTGTGTGTGTGTGTGTGTGTGTGTGTCTAAATCACTGACATACTCTATGGGTGCAAGATAGGAAACCTGGTCCCCACCACTGCCAGCTGAATATACTCTCTACACAAGGTACAGTGCATACCCCCACAAACATGAGTTGGGGTCCTTGGTGATGTCTATTTCTGTCTCCCTTGTGTGCAAGACCTTGTGGTGTGTTGTTGAAGAATAGTACTCAAAATTTCCACCCTGCTACCAAAGGCCATGGAGCTCTGGCAAGTCACCTCTCTTCTCTGGGCCTTAGCTTTCCCTCACTGTATAGTGGATACAGCAACTGATCTGCCCAGTTTGGGCAATTAGATAAGAGGTCATGAACACATGAGTTAAGTGGTGGATGAATGCATCAACGAATGAACGGATTTGAGAAAGTCCAATGAACTGGGAAAACTGAGGTTAAAAAATGACCGGGCTGGTGCTGTTACTCTCCTCATTTCCAGGTGTAACACCACTATTCAGATCTAGGGCTTCTTGAACATCTAGGGCCTGTTGACCCCAGGTCAACTCTCCTTTCTGAACAAGTGGCCTGTGATGGAGGTGCAGAGAAGGACAGTAGGGGGAAAAGGTAAGGCAGAGTTCAAAGAACTAGGGAAAAGCAGTGGGGATGTAGAAGGGAAATGGGAAAGTCCATCTGGGGACCTGGGATCTGGAATGGGCAATGGGGGAGACAGGGACAAAGGAAGGAGACTTGGAGAAGAGACTTGGACACAGATTGGCGGGAGATGATAAGAAGAGGGTAGACTCTGGGGAGACCAAGTAGACTAGTCTACAGGAACCCAACAAATGCTCTGTAGTGTCTATTGGATACACTGGGCCTGAAGTAAGGGAAATGGATCAAAAGCTCAGACTAGAAAGTGCTGGAAGATCTCATGCATCCTCCACCCAGGGTGGGGGGTGGGGGATCCCCATCCCTACCAGATGGCCATCCTCACCAGGAACACGCCGTGGGCATACAAGTGGATCCCTAGCTGGATGCCATTGACAATCTTCTCCCGGGCCCACTTGGGAATCCCAAAGTTAGCAATCAAGGCCATGACAGGAACCGCAAAGAACCTGAGGGTATTAGGGTTAGAAGGTGATGGAGACACAGCCTCTGTCCGCCACCCACTGCCCACCTCCCTTGTCATGCTCTCATGCATGTTCCTGGTGGTTCTCAAACTAGAGAGGAGTCAATATGATCTTGAAAATCTAGAAGTTAAAGGGGGCCAGGGATCCCACTAGCCTAGGAAATTCTGGGGGCAAGGAATTTAACTTGGTTGGACCCTACTCCAAATCTCTGATTCTAAGTATTTTCTATATATGTAAAATGGATTTGCATTTGGGAAAAGGTCCACTTTCCATCACCATTACACAGGTGAGGAAACTGACACAGAGAGAAATTAAATGTGATCACACATGAGCTTTAGGACTGGGATCTAACCCCAAGTAATCTAGTTGAGGAATCTCCCTATGTTATACCTATCCCCTGTTATGATGATTCATCGAGAATACAGCTAGCTTTAAGTGAATATTTACTATATGCCAGACACACATGTCTCACATATGTTCAAAATAATCTTTCTTAGTAGATATTTTTGATAACCCCATTTTATGGAGAAACAAAGAGAGGGGGGAGAAAGGAAAGTCATTCTTTCAAAGTTACAAAGTGAATGAATGACAGCCTCTGAGAATGGTCATGGGCCTCACTGAGAAGGATCTGAATTGGAGCTGATCCTTTCTGGGAGTCCAAGGAGTTAAGAACAAAACCGGGGCCCACCATGTCTCACCAGAGGGTGTAGGCAGCAAAGAAGGGCACATAAAAGGGCTGTTTCTCCGGGAAGTGACGTAGGGAGACGAGGACGGCATAGCAGAACCACACATAGGCTGCCACCTGCAGCCCAATGAGCCCGTAGCCTGCTGGTGACTCATATGTGTACAATACCTGGCCTGGGTCAAAGAACTGGTCCCAAGGAAGAGGAGTTATCACAGCTCTGGCATCCGTCCCTCCACAGTGGGGCCCTGGATCCCACCCATGGACACCCAGGGAGCAGAGGTCAGCACAGAAGCATGGCAAAAGGGAAGGATGGAGATGGACACACAAAATGTTAGAAAGCACAGAGGAAAAACACAGAAAGGTAAATTCATCAGCTGTGTGTGCCCACCCTTTGCTACTGAACTTATCATTTTGACTCAAAGCAACCCTTAGGACAGAGTAAAGCTAGCTGATAGGATTGGTGGCACTGGGAGTTAGCAGCACCGGGCGCTAGGCTGCTAACTCAGAGGCTGCCCCTCTCTGGCACTTTGAATCCACCAGCGATTCACTGGGAGAAAGATGGGCCATTTCCTCCTGTGTGATTTACCACCTCAGAACCCAACGGAGGACCAGGTAGGAGTCAGTCCTTTCTCAACAGCAATGAGTGTACGAATCTTAAGCCCTGGTTACACTTTGGCCTACTAACCAGAAGGTCAGCAGTTTGAATCCACCAGCTAGTCCTTGGAAGAAAGATGAGGCCATGTCCTCCCATTAAGATTTTACAGCTTCAGGAACCCAATGAAGGTTGCCATGAGTCGGAGTTGACTCAGTGGCAATGGGTTTGGTTTTTCAGTCTAATAATCTAGTGTCCTAACGGGTAAGGTGCAGCTTGAATCCACCAGTGCTTGGTGGGGAAAATACGGTTAATCTTCCTATGCAATTTACAGCCTCTGAAAAACTGCTGGAGGATCAGCTATGAGTCAGTTCTAACTCAAAGGAACATAACAATAAAATAATCTTTACAAACAAGTACTGTTAGCATAATGGTTTACATGTTGGGTTGTTAGCCTAAAGTCAGCAGTTTGAACCCACCAGCTGCTCCATGGAAGCTTTTCATTAGCATCAATTCTGTGAGATAGGTCTCATGACTGAGACCTGCACAGGAAACCGCAGCTAGGAAGAAAAATTCGTTGGCCAAAGCCGTACAGGGGACTAAAGGCTTTGAGGGAGCCCCTCTGGTGGGTAAGATCTGGTGGGGAAGAGGCTAGGGTAGGGGCACCACCCATGAGGAAGAGCGATGGCAGAATGGACAGTGTGTCTCCTGAACTCTTCGGCACGACATAACGCATGAGTGTGACAGACAGTGAGAGACAGAGGGAGGAGGAAGAAAGCCACTCAGCGTGGTGACGAGAACACACTTAGACAGATGGAAAGGCGAAAAAATGCAGAGAGGGAGAGATTAGCCGAGCTGGAATAGTGCAAGGTGGGGAAAGGCTAGCAGAACCGTCAAGGAGACGCCAAAAGCTTGGAGAGCAGAGGGAGGGCGGAGCCTGGGAAGGGGCGGGACTCACTTCGGCCTCGTAGATGAGCAGCACTACGTGGGTGAGGGTGTACAAGGTCATGTAGACAGATAGCTTCACGGAGCCTGAGTGGCTGATGCGGCCCCTGGCAGTCGGCCATTAGGGGAGACAGTGGGGCAAATGCAGTCAGGGAGATGGGGACGGCCACCCCCAGCCCTGCTTCCCCAGCCCAACCCTCCCAGGAACGCTCCCTCCCACCCAGCCCGGGCACCGTGTCACCGTGAATCCCTTCCCCAGAAGGATGAGCATCAGGAGGAAGATGAGGAAGCTGGAGGAGAAGAGCAGTTTGGCTGAGAGAAGGGAAGAGAGGGAGGCTCAGAGATAGGGCTTCCAGACCCCAGCTGAGGCTACCCCCACCTCCCCTGGCCCGCCTTCACTCACCCAAGATCTTCAGACTCTCATTGCCAATGCCATCAGTGGCATACTGACCCCAATAGATGCAGAAAAACAGGAGGCTCAGGACTGGAGGGATGGACAGGGCAGAAGCCAGCTTTTGAACATTGCAGTCTCTCCTAAGCCAGGAGTCCAGAACCTCAGCTCCCTCCTCCCTCAGTCCCAGGAATCCAGACCCCTCTCCTCCCTCAGACCCAGGGGACCAGGCACCCAGCCCCCTTTTCCATCAGACACTGGCATCCTGACCCTAGCCCCCACTTTCCTCAATTCCAGGAGCTCAGTTACCTGCCCCTCCTGTTTCAGGACCCAGAAGCCCAAGCCCTCAGTCCTTCTTCCCCCAAAATGCCAAAAAGGAGTCCCCCAAAGGGATGCTCTAAACCTCACCTTCCACTCCTGCAGCTGCCATGAACATTTTATAAGTTGTATGGAGCAACTGACGGCCTTTCAGCAAATCTGAGAAGAGGAGAATGGAAAGTTTGTTCCTGGGCAGGAAAAAGTGAGGAGTGCCTATCCTCCAACCCCACTCTCGTGTCTTTGGACACCCTCTCCCCACAAGGTCCTAGACTCACATCCAAAGTAACAGGAGAGGAAGAAGATGAGGATGAAGATGAGGAGGAAAGTCACGTCTGTCTCTAGAATTCCTGTGAGATTGTGGATGGAGAAGATATTGTTGTGTCCCTCGGCAAGCAAGTGACTGGACTCCCACAAAAACTCTGACTTTAAGGTCACTATGCGCTCACCAAACTCATCGGCCGAGAAGTGGCGGGTCCAGAAGGACTTGCCATTGGTGAGGACCATCTCATACTCCAGCTGCAGCCCATCTCCCTGTAGGAAGTGTGGGGGCCTAAGGGGGCGTCCCTGGGAAAGTAAGGGGTCAGCAGAGAGGCAAGGAGGAGATGGCCCAGGCAGCCACAACAACACAACATCTTACCCCACATTTGCTGAGTGCAATGTACCACCACCTTTCACGAACCGAGCGGAAGCTGCGGCCACTAGAGCAGCTCAGGTAACGGGTTCCCTCCTCTGACACCACCTGATAAGGAGAAAGAAGGCTGGATTCCATCCTCTGTCACCTCCCAGACCCCTCATCACCCACCTACTGACCAACCTGGGCCCCTACCTGACAGCCGGACCAGGCGTACTGGGTGGTAAGGTTGATGACCTGGTTATTCTCTGGCCTGATCACTGACTCCTTGGCCAGGCAATCCTAAGGAGGCAGGGGCTGGGTTACTTTCTGGCCAGCCATGATCTCCTATTGCACCCCCTCCTCCTCACGGTCCTCACCTTGTCCCCTGCCTTGTACACGGCAGGCCACTGGGATGGGTCGTCGAAATAGAGCAGGATGTTCTGACAGCACTTGGCCTGCAACCCCCAGAGATTAAGCTGGGGTAGCCCCAAGGGCACATCCAGCCTCAGGGTGATGAGTGGCTAGGGCAGACTCACCTCAGGGTAGCGGAAACGAAAGTCCAGCCGGCCGTAATCCGAGAGGAAGCAAAATCTTGTCAGAAATACCCAGTCCTGTAAAAGGGGCCTGGTCAGCTCTTCTTGCAGTTCCTGGGCCCAGGTTTCTCTCCTCTACCCTGACACTTGGTATTCCAAGTCCATAAGGAGACCAAGTTGCCTCCAAAATTCTTCTCTCCTTCACTTTGAGTCCAGAATTTCCATCCCCAGACTTTCTCTATCAGACCCCTAAGATTCCTACCCTCTCCCTAAACAGTACTCCTCTCATTTCCCAAGTGCCTAGAGAAAGACTCCGTCTCCTACTGGCCAGATCCCCAGCCTGGTTACCTTCTGTCCTGGCCACTGTCCATCATCTCCCACCCCACCCCCAGTTAGTCACACACACACACACACACATCCCACGGTGGTTGGTCCAGGAGACCATCCCCAGGCTAGTGGATCTTGCAAACGGCTCCCACTGGGTCCAGAGCAAGAGGAACTCAAGGCTCTCTGTAGAGTGAAAAGTGCTATCCCTTCAGCACCACGGTGGCGGCCCTCACCCCCTCCTAAACTCCGACTCTCCCAACCGCCCCCCACCCCGCCCAGCTCTGTCCTTCACGTTCCTCCTGCACCCTCAAGGCTGACCTCGACCTCACTGGTCCCCTCAACCCCAACCCTGACCCAGGCCCCTAGCCCCCCGCCGCCATCACCCGTCAGGGCACTGAGGATCCGTCCCCGAGCAGCGGCAGGGGGCGGGGCAGCGCCCTCTCCGCCCCCTCCCTCCGATCCCCCGGGGCCCAGCCAGCGGCTGCTAGGGGATCCGCGCGCTCACCTCCTTGGAGCTGAGGTTGCCCCGCACGTACTTGGCCCGGGCGCGGGGGGGCAGCGGTAGCAGGAGCAGCAGCAGCGGCGGCAGCAGGCGGCGCAGCGCGGGCACGCGCGGGGGCTCCATTCCTCCCGCTCCGGCCCCGGCCCGGCTCCGCTCCCGCTCCAGCCCCGCGACGGCGGCGAGAGCGCGCGGACCGGCCGCCGCGCGCCCCCGATTAAAGGGGCCGTAGGCCGCTGCGCTCCCCGCCCCCTCCTCCAGGACAAGCCAGCGGGCCCCTTCCTGTGTCCCTGTGGGACAAGACGCCACTTTCCCAGTCTCTGCTACGCTGCCCCACTGTCATCCTTGCTCTCCCCTCGAAGAGTCTCATTGACACTTCAGTCTTCCTGTGTCCTAAAGTGAACTCAACGGCACCTCTCCTGAAGGGTCCCCAAATCCCAGATCCTAGTTCTGTCCTCACACACTTCCCCCAATTTAGCCACCAAACATTTTCTTCCTGGTTCACCCTGCCTCCATGACAGCTACTCCAATTCCGTACCCATCCCTGAGTTAAGAGACAGTCTCTCACAAGAGAAGGCAAGTAATTTGTCCTGGGTCACACAGCATGACAGTGGCAGAGTCCTCCGTTAAAACTACCCAAACCCGAGCAGTTGAGAACTCAGACAAGTTTCGAGGATGCCGCCCAAAAGAAAAAGCTGTACTGGAAAGGCCGGAAAAGGGGAAGCAGCCTCTGGAAGTAACAGTGCTAACAAGATGACTCAGGGTCCTAAAGGTGGTGGCAGTGCAATAAAGGTCAGGCACATTCTGTGTGAAAAATATGGCAGAATTATGGAAGCCATGGAAAAGTTAAAGTCTGGAATGAGATTCAATGAAGTGGCTGCACAATATAGTGAAGATAAAGCCAGGCAAGGGGGCGACTTGGGCTGGATGACCAGAGGGTCCATGGTAGGACCATTTCAAGAAGCAGCCTTTGCCTTGCCTGTGAGTGCACTGGATAAGCCTGTGTTTACAGACCCTCCAGTCAAGACAAAATTTGGATACCATATTATTATGGTTGAAGGGAGAAAATAAAATCATACGAAAATAATAATCTAAAAAAAAAACTACCCAAACCCACTATTTAATCCTTTCTTGTCCCTGATATTAAAGTGGTACCAAATTGCCATGCAATAGCTGTAGTGGCTTTGTGAGACACTCGGAACATGGATTTTTAAATGAATTGAATGTGTTTATATAACCAACTTGCCACTTCCTCTCCACATGACCTTGACCCAATCATTCAACTTTGTGATCTCCTGGCCTGGCCCTTCCACACTTGCACAGAAGCAGCCTTCCAGTTCTTGCACTAAGGACCTGATCATTTCCCGGGTGGACAATCAGAAACCCCTGAAAAGCTTTGCACTGCACAATTCAGATTTTCCCTGATAGAACTCCCACAGATATCTCTAGCTTCACTCTCATTCCACCTGTCAAAGGAGGGCTTTGTGGCTTGGCTTGTGCCACATGTTGCCATGAGGACTGCCGGTGTGCCGCCTGAACAGAAGCCCAAACCAAAATTACTTTAAAAGAAAATCTTGTCAGATATGTAATATTAGACAACTGAGTAAAAAAATTATGTATCATAAAGAAATCTGTGGGCCAGATTCCTTCTACATGTATTGCCCCTTTTCCATTCCTGCCTTAAGCCTGCACATGCATGCTTTCTCATGCTCCACAGACCAAGACCCCAAATACTACTCCCTCTAGGTCCCTGCAACAGGCTAGGGATGTGGGTTAAGACTGAATGCACCCACATTCCAGGCTTTACACATTCTGTTCCCCTTGGCTGAAATGTTCCATTCCTCTTCTAACAGTAAGCTTGTACCATTCTTCTCCCTCACCACTACTTTTTTCAACTTTGTGTGAAAGTTTACAAAACAGAATGGTTTTCCAGTTATACATATTTCAATTCATGGTACTTGATTACAATACTCAACATTGCAACCACATTCTCCCCACTTCTTCCCAGCGCTACTCATTTCCATGAATCCTTGTATTTTATCCCTTCCTGCCTTCTGAACTCGATTTCTGGGAAGATGCTGCCCTTTTGATTTTAATTGGTTTATTAATGAGTTTAGTGACTTCCTAGTGTTCACCTTATATAAAGGCTATCTATTGTTTGGCTGAAAGTTGAGCCACAGGACTTTTTACAGATCTTTTTCAGAACCACAGCCACTGGGGTTTCTGGGCTTGCCACTGACTGTGAGCTTAGTCTGACTTGCTCTGGGGCCCCCAGAAACACCAGCATTCAGAGACTGGCATGCTGGTGACCTCAATGTGTACACGTGTCAAAATTATTTAAAGTCTGAGGATTCCTCCTTGCTATGAGTCCTAGGAAAGTGGCAAGTAACAGCATTCTCCCTGTCATCTTGAACCCTGAACTCAGAGCAGAATCAAACTGCTTCTCCTAGATTCTTGTCCTCTGCCAGCGACTCATTGAAAAATTAAGAGAGACATGAAGAAGGCACTTTATTGAGGTAAGGGGCAGTCTGGGATTCCTGCCCCAACCCCCCACCCCTGCCTTGGCTTCACTCTCATCAGTACAGTCTCATGGGTGGAAAGGACCAGGCCTCAGGGCTGTTCTGGGCTACCACCCAGGAGAGGCTAGGCAGTGGGGCAGGAGGACTGGGGCTCCACTCTAGTGCTGAACTTCTAAGCAACAAAGGAGATGGTGGCGGAGGCATGGGATGCGATAGGCCAATCCCCCAGGGTCGGGAAGGGGGTGGTGTGGCTGCCAACCAGATGCTTTTCAGTAGGTCAAAGGCTGTTGGGGGACCCCAGGCTGCCTCAGATGGTGAAGTTACTGAGGGTATAGGGAGTGGCCTGGAACCCACTGCTGGTCCCAGGCTTGCTTTGTGTGCAATGGAACTGTTGGAGGCAGGTGCCATGGTGAAGGCGGGCTCCTTTACACTCTGTAGCCTCCTCTTCCATCCCTCTCCTGGAACTTTCTTGACACTGCTGATCCAGGAGGGTGTCATCTTCCGTCTCTCAGGGTTCCTGGTCTTGACTTCTGGCACAGAAAAAGAAGTATGGGTGGCAGCTAAACCAGAGCAGGCGAGGGGTAGGGGAGTACAGTGGAAAGGAGGTGGGCTCACCTGGCAAGTGTGGCTGACCCTGTAGGACCAAGGTAAGGTCGGGAACATGGCCATGGCAGGCCTGTAAAGTGCCCACAATGATGTCCCTAGCCTCCTGAACCAGGTTCCTCCTGGAGAAGGCCTGAGGCAGAATCAGCTTGAACTGCAACTCCCAAAGAAGCTGACTCAAGCAAGGTAGATTTGGGGGACTTGGTGGGCCTGGGCACAGGTTTTCAGGCAACTGGTTCTCTTTGCCCCTTAACTGTGGGGATGATTCTTGGGTGCTGCCCTGGAGTGGGGAAGGCTTGGTGGGAAGTAAGGGGGTATCTGGCTCCACGGCCCTACTGCTAAGCAGTCGTGCCACATCCAGCGATTTAACCTCATGGCTGAAAAGACCCCAGTGCTCCCGGCTTAGCCGGCCTTGGGTTATAACCACGAGCTTGTGGGCAGCAGGGGCTACAGGATTCTGGGAGGCCACAGTTGGCTTCCGATGGGTCACAGCAGGCTCCTGACTGGCCACTGGAGGATCCTGGTGGACCTTGGGCCGTCGGCTGCCTACCAGGGCCTCATTACGCTCCCGCCTGGTCTTTCGCCGGCGGATGCGACCAGGTTTTTCTGGATGCTGCTGTAAAGGCTGGGAAGCTGGCTTCCAAGGGTCCATGGTGTGCTGGAAGATAAAGACAAGGCCATTATCAGCACAAAGATAAGCCATAAAGCTAAAAGTGGATAATGAGAAGAAGAGACAATTTGGAGTGAGTGGAGGAAGTACTTCTGAGGCAGAAGAGAAAGGCAAGCAGGCAGGAAGCTAAAGGGAGGGGCAGAGACACAACTGGGAGGGGACAGGGATGAGAGAACTGAATATTTAAGGTTATTGGACAAAGATGAACAGTTAGAGCTGGAAGGGACAAGTCAAGGTATAAGAAAGAATTCTAGGAAACAGAAGACAAAGGATTGAAAAAGACTTGAGGGGCAGATAAGGAGCATGGGAGTAGGGAGAGGTCAAAGCAGTCAGGGAGCAATGTTAAAGAAATACAGGACTCGTAGAAACAGAAACATGGAGAAACTGGAAGACAACTAGGAGGAGAAAAGGAATCATTAATGGAGAAGGGATTATGAACAAGGGAATGGATCACAAAACAGAGATTCAAGGGCTCCAAAAGTAATTATGGGCAGAGAAAACACCTGAGGATAGACGTGGTAGAGCAGAATTCAGAAAGCAGGAACAAATAGAGAAAAACAGAGTATGAGTAGCAAGAGCAGCAAAAGGAAAGAAAGATGAGAACACATCAGGACAGAGGCCTGGTCACGAGAAGGGGGCCTAGGGTAGGACCCAGGCAGGGTGGGCAGTTGAAGGGAAGCGGCAAAAAGAAAGGAGGACGGACAGGTATTGTTGACGGCGGCAGGATGGGGAGACGCACCTATCCTTTTCCTGCCTTATCGAACCCCGTCCTACTTCCACCCCATGTGGCTAAGGGCGCAATTGCTCCTTTTCTGCTGGGACCCCAGTTGGCCAAGCCGACTAGGGCCCCTACCAACTTCACACCCCTGAGTCTCATGCGCAACATACGCATAGGCGTGCGCATGCGCAGCTTTCCCTTAGCCAATGAGGTCCCAGGCCCCAGGACACGTGATACACAGAGTGCCGGTTATAGTCCCTCACACTCCAGCCTCGTTTTCAGAAACCTCTCCCATCTGCCCCTATGAATTGCCTATCTACCAATTGGATGTGAAGTTCACTAGCTCCGCCCCCTCCTAGAAAGCTGATTCGTTTTGACAGCTTTTGGCCGGTTTTTGTATCAGGAACTAGAAGTGAGATGAGGTTTAAGTGTTTGCAGAAGACCCACAATAATATGCGGACTCCGTCCCCTAACAGTGGCCACCTCCTGAGGACTTGGCCCTAGTTCAGACTTCATCCCTAGTGAGTCAATTTAGCGTCCTAGATTCTGGAACAAATTATCTAGGTTCAAACGTCTAAGCTTGACATATCGGAGCTGTATGGTCTTGGAAAAACTTTAAGCACCCAGAGTCTCAGTTTCCTTATCTATAAAACAAAGTTGATGATAGAACCTTTCCCTCTCAGGGCGGTTGTAAGGATGAAATGACATCTAACTGGAAATCAGGGTCCCTCAAACGTTAAAATCAAGCTATGCCACAGTCAATACTTATCACATCAGCATATCAGCAGTCAAGAAATCAAAAGATACGTTACATTGGGAAAATCTCCTGTTCAAGATTTTCCCAAAGTGCTTAAAGAGCAGTGATGTCAGTTTAAAGACTAAGATGTGCCTGATCCAAGCCATGGCATTTTAAAATTCTTTTTCCCTCCCATTAATTTTATTTTTTTTCTATAATTATATTTTATTAATTTTCATAAACATTTTTTGGGGGACTTGGTGGGCCTGGGCACAGGTTTT